GAAGAGAAATGCCCCTGCTAAATTCAATATGCTTCTCAGACATATTCAATAAAAAAAATTAATTTTCGAGTGTGAGTGGTGGTCACATCTATAATCCCAGCATTCGGTAGGATGAAGCAAGAGAGCTGAGTTCAAGGTTAGTGTGAGTTACAACAGCAAGACCATGTTTCAAAAAATAACAACAATAATTTTCCTATACAAAAATTAACTCAAAATAGCTCACAGACCGAAACGTAAGAGCAAAAACTGTAAAATTCTTAGGAGAAAACATAAGCACAAATCCTGGTAACCTCAGGTTAAGGCAATGATTCCTTAGATTCAACACCAAAAGAACAAGTGATGAAAAAGATTGACAACTTGGACCATATAAGTTAAAAACACTTATGCCTCAACGGACACTGCCAGAGAAGTGAGGACAACCCACAGAATGAGAGAAGATAGATTTGCAAATCATACATCTTACAGGGCAATCGATATATAAAGAACTACAACTTAATAAAAAAAGATATAATCCAAATTTTAAAACGTCAAAGGATTAAAACACATTTTCCCAAAGGAGAAGCAAAATGGCTGAAAAGCATGTGAAAAGTTGTGCCAATGATCTTAGATATTAGGGAAATGCAAAGTAAAACCACAAGGAGATACCACTTTATATTCACTGGGATGTCTAATAAAAGACAGAAATAATAAGTGTTGGTAAGGACAGGTAGTTATTGCTAACTTTCATACATTGCTGATTATGCAGCCACTTTGGAAAATAGTTTGGCAGTTTCTTAAAAGGTTAGAGCCACATGACAGCTGGAGGTATGGCTCAAGCAGCAGAGGACTGCCTAGCAAGCACAAAGCCCCGAGTTTAAATCCCAGTGCCACCAACAAAAGTCAGAATTACCACATGAACCACTCCTTGGTATATGTCTAAGAAAAATGAAAGTCTATGTCCATTAAAACCTGTACACAAATATTCATAGCACTATTATCCATAATAACCCCAAAGTACAAAAACAACTCAAATGTCTATCAACTGATGACTAAGCAAAATGGAATAAAACCTTATAATGGAATATTAATCAGTAGTAAAAGGAATGAAGTACCCACGTTACAATGTTGATGAACCTTAAAAACATTATGTTACATAAAAGGAGCCCGTCACAGCCACCCGGTGGTTGTGGTGATGCCCTATTGCAGCAGGCCACTACGCTTGTGCCCCAACATCAAGCTGGACGTGCTCTCCTGGTAGCCACTGGCTAGCCCCTAGAGGCCCACTTGGGTGCTGGACCACTGCTCAACAACGGGAACCAGCTGAGCACACATGACTTCCCCCTGGGACGGCAGCTCCCAAGTAGGACTACCCTGACCCTGAGTCCAGAGAACTGCTGACCAGCAGGGATTGTCAGCCTTCTCTGCCTCTTCCCTCAGGATTCCATCCCCATCCAGGGCCCAACTACCCAACCTTCCTGCTGGACCAGATGCAATCACAGGTCCTGCCACTCCATTACCAAGAATTCATGCCACCCAGTTCTTGCCTGCCAGAGGAGCCTAAGTCAAAGAGGGGAAGAAGGTCATGCCTGGGAAAAGGACAGCCACCCACACTTGTGATTATGAGGACTGCGGCAAAACCTATACAAGAGTTCTCATCTCAAGGCACAGCTGTGAACCCACACAGATGAGAAACCTTATTACTGTGACTGGAATGACTGTGCGCAGTTCACCCACTCAGATGAACTAACCAGACACTATCGAAAACACACATGGCACCACCCCTTCCAGTGCCAGAAGTGCAACCAGACCTTTACCAGATCGGACCACCTCGCCTTACACATGAAGAGGCACTTTTAAACCCCAGACAGTGGATAGGATCCACACAGCCAGAAGAGAATTCAGTACTTTTTTTTTTTTTTAACCTTTCACACTGTCTTCCCATGAGGGGAGGAGCCCACCTGGCAAGCACTACAATCAAATCATAGTCAAGTTCCTAATCAGTTTCTCTTGATTCACAAGTTCAGCTTGTGAATCAAGAGAAAGGAGGAATTCAAAAGACAAAAATCAAAGAACAATCAAAGAGTCTGAGACTGGATATTCTCTCATTCCAATTCTAAATCAACTTGAACATGCTGGACTTACAAAACACCAAGGGGATGATGACTGGAAGTTGTGGATACCAGGGTATAAATTAGATCCATGAGCTGGGGGGGAGGAAAGATCAGAATTCCCTTGTTTTGATGCAATCCAAATATAAAGATCGTGTTGTATTATTCTCTTTGCTTCTAAAAGCCATTATTCTATGAGAAGAGGAAGAAATTCAGGTACAGAAAGATGTGTTCTAACAGCCTACATGATGGCGCTTAGTGAGTCTTAGTTCTAAAGGCACCAAATGAGGAAGCCATTCTCAAACTGCTGCATACTTTAATAAGGAATCTCTTTTTGTCTTCCGATCTACATGTATGACTTAAGTCAGGTAAATACACCTGGCTTACTTCTTTAATATTTTTATGCAGACAATTTGTAATGTACTGTGGTTGTGCAATAATTTATACAATAGTTTATTCCTAAATATGCCTTAAGCAGAACAAATGTTTTTTTAAATATAGTTCCTTGCCTTAATAAATATGTAATATAAATTTAAGCAAAGTTCTATTTTGTATATTTGTAAACTACAAAGTAGAAAAACTGAACATTTTGTGGAGTTTGTATTTTGCATACTTAAGGTGACAGTTAAGTTTTAAATAGACCTATAATATATTATCTGAAAAAAGAAGCCAGTCACAAAAGACCACATACTGTGTGATTCTACTTACATGAAATGTCCAAAGTAAGAATAAATCAGTAGAGATAGAAAGTATATTAGTGGTTGCCAGGGGCTATAGCTTGGGGAATGGAGACTTACTGCTAACAGGTACTGGGTTAAATTAGATTATGAGGATAGTTGCATAACTCTAAGCATAATAAATCATTTAATTGTAAACTCTGAATGAGTGAATTTTACTGTGTATAAATACAAAGCTGGAGGAGAAAGATGGATGAAAGCTACTATAATTATGTTCATGCTTTAAGCATTTGAGAAGCTAGAAGTTAACACAAAGAATTTTCATGCAAGATTTCAAATACCTTCCTACTCTATGTTACCATCCCTTTAACTTCTTATTTGCCATACTTTTAATAGACACACAAGTTATGCAGGAAACCAGGCTAGTAGCAAGAAGGTTGCCTTGTTTTTATTTTTTAATTTCCTCATGGAGTGTTTGAAAGACCATTAGTTTTATCTCTGAATTTTCTGTACCCAACAAAGAACATGGTATGCATGGAGTAATACTGAATAAATATATTGGTACAAAAATGAGAGACAAGGGCTGGGAGGTGTGGCTCACGAGGTAGAGAACTTGCCTACCAAGCTCAAGACCCTGAATTCAAATCCCAGTACAGCCCTCCCTCCAAAAAAAAGAAGGGACAAAGACAAAAAACTGAGTCTAAATATGAAAATATAAGGGGTTTAAAACACTCCAGGAAAATAAGACTTAAAACCTAGGCCTACCAAGTAAAACTTTTCAATTATAATAGTGAAAGAAAATACTCTTTTTTTCTTCCTTCCTCCCTTTCTTCCTTTTTTTGTGGTACTGAGGATGGAAAGAAACTGTAGCCTCACTCATGTAAGCAAGCACTCTACCACTGTCAGAAAATATTCTTTAAAAATGTTGAATTATCTATAAGGGAAAAGAAAAAGCTGATCCCAGCAGCAGAATGTAGGAGATAAGAACACTGTCTTTGGAATCCTTCATTTAACCAACATTTACAAAAGTACCAACAGCATGAAGGACTCTGGCTTAAGTGCTGGTGACCTATAGAGTAGGTGCATCTCACTATAATGTAGGGAAGACATAATAAGCAAATAAAGTAATTTGAAGAAGTGATGAGTACCATGATTATGAGGAAAATTAAATGAATATAGGGGTAAGAGAATGACTGAAATGGCTTCAGATAAATAGTCTCAGAAGAGTTGCACTCAGGAGGCTAAGGCAGGAGAACTGCCTCATGTTCTAAGCCAACATGGGCTACACAGCAAAACCAAAAAAACAAATAAAAAGCAAAACAAAACCAAAAAACCCCTTTGCCAGTACATTTCAAAACATTGGGGTGAATACAGTAATAAAGTTTAGAAAGAAAAGACTGTATCTTCACCCAAAAATAACCACAAATTAAAATAATTCTCTCTTTACAGTCATTCATTCCTATGTAAATTTTTATGTATAAAATCTGTTCACTCTTAATATTGTACCTACTGCATACATTTGTTTATGATTAGAGGTAAACTAAAAGGAAGTGAATATCCTAAAAATCTCAAGGATTTAACTATGGACTAAATCACTTAAATGAAATGAAATGGTACAAAAGTATTCACCCACGCACACAAGATTACACAATCAAAAACTTATTTTCACAAAAACGAATGTCTCCATAGCTAGTCTGCACAAGCCAAACACAACTCACGTAAAAACAACATTTTCTAGAACACTGCACCATTACTTTAGTCAAGAGATGTTTTATCCTAAAAGAAAGAATAAAATAAACAGAAGTAGACAAATGTACAAAACTGCAACATGAAGCTCCACTTTCAACTGCATTTCTATTCCTGGGCTCCTTGGACGTCCATATCCTAACCTATAAAATCAGATGTCACTCAGATATGGTGTGAATGAGGTACAAAAAATCATTTAACACAACAACAACAAAAATCTAGTTCTTCTCAAGTGGAGTGAAACAATGTTTCCTCCTTTCCTAATGTTTTCATTTAAAAATAAAGAGTGTCAGAAGAATGCTGGGGCAGAGAGCGAGCCTGCCTGACATGTACCAGGTCCTAACAGAGAGTGTAAAAGAAAAATAAAATCACAATCACTTCTAAAACAGCTTTTATATAAGTCTACCCATAACTTTCAGAAACCTACCACAATACATCCAGAAAAAAATGCAGAACTAGAGACAGTTAAAGCATCAAAGAGTCCACTAACCTTAACCCATTGAACAGTTGCTTAGATTTGTCCAGAAGATAACAGAAATCTGTAACTGTTTTCCTCTCCCCCTGTGGGATGTCATCTTCAGCACCTCCAGAGGACATGATTTCTTTAAGAGCAAATTCAGTCCTGTAAGGAAAAATATGTTCATTAACTCAGTCAGTAAAAAAAAAGAAAAGAAAACCTTAGTTATATCTTTTTTTTTTTTTTTTTTTTTTTGAGACAGGGTCTTTCTATGCAACCCAGGCTGATCTCAAATTTGCAATCCTCTGCTTCAGCCTCCCAAGTACTGGGATAACAAGTACGTACCAACATACCTGGCTGGTTATATCATCTGATAGCATTGTTTTCTCCAAAATAAATACAGAATCTTCTGATTACACTCAAATCAAACTAAATGTTGTAAAACAGATCATCTCATATTGTTGGTGGGAATGAGAATTGATAGAATGATACTGGAGAGCAATTTTTATAATATCCTTCCATCTTATATGATTTGAATGTCTGTTCTGTTCCAGACACTCCTCTAGGAGTTAACTTCTAGGTTAGCAACATACAATATTGACCCTTGTCACCTATTTGTCCATTTGATTCATTCTGTAAATCCATCCAGAAAAATGATCCTACAAATTGTAAACACTTTCTCTATAGTTCTTTATCACAGCAACTAAGAACTGGCAACAACATATAGGTGCCAAAGAGGGAAAGACTTAAGCACTTCACAGAATACTAAGCAATGTATTCTACTGACACTTATATTTAAGAAGGGGATGGTAGGGATTGGAGGTATGAAGCAAGTGGTAAAGTGCCTGTCTAGCAAGCCTGAGGCCAAATTCAACTTACAGTACCACTAAAAAACAACAACAAAAAACAAACCCAAGAAGGTCAGGCAGTATACTTCAGTGTGAAAGGGACACTAAAGATCACACACATAAGGCACATGTATAAAAACTCTTACTTTATTGAATCCAAATTCTCTTTATATGCAATGAACTATATATATCAGCCATTTTTAAATGGTAAGCTATACTAAAATTAAAAACAAAACTGCATTTGTTTTCACACAAACAGAAATCCCTGGGACAACACAGGAAACTTTGGTCTCAGTGTGTAGTGAAAAAATAGGCAGAATGACAAGGGCCAGAAACCAAAGATGGAAGTCAGGGTGTGGTACACTTATTCTGGTGGATATTTTTCTCTCCAGCGTTGAACAGGCAATTATGGTTGCAAGATAGGAAAACTGTCAGCTAGCCTAGAGCTGTCAAGAGGCTTCTGGGTAACACAAGAGTAGCAGGGAGTCACCTATAATACGCATGGATAGCACTGGGTGGTCTCTGCATGTTCATGCTCCCTTTTCCCCCACTTCTCTCCCTACTCCATGAACCATGGGAAAAGAGACCTTGAAAAGCGCCAAGCCTGGGAAGGGAGTTCATGCTGAAGTATGAAGAACCTTCAATTAACCCCTTTGTACAATTAATTTATGCTAATAAAAAAATAAAATAAAAAGCCTTGACCTTCGGTAAATTTTCTCCCTGACACACACCTGTAACCTTCCCTTTAATTCTCTAAGCCTCACGGGAGATAAACAAATTAGGCACAAACCAGATGAACTTTTCCCCACTCTGTCTCATATTTTTGCTAGTGAAGGTAGCTAACATCTCCAGGACATACAAGTTCACAGAAGAAAAAAATGTTTCGAGTAAACATGCTGAATAAGGAAGAATATTAGAAATACAGCAGGAAGAAATTGCCATGATGAGGCAAATAAAAATAACAAGTATGAAAAATACAGTAACTGAAATCATGAACCTAACAGACTGAAGACCAGAAAGGATATAGTTGAACAAATTAATAATCTAAAAATATCAGATTTCTCTACCAAAAGACATCAGGAAGAGATAAAATACAAAAAAGAAATATCAAGAGATAATGGAATAAAGAAATTAGGGAAATCAACCTCCACATTATAGTTTATATAGAAAAGTAGGGTGTGGTGGTACAGGCCTATAATCCCAGCACTTGGGAGACTAAGACAGAAGGATGACAAATTCCAGGCCAGCCTGGACTACATAGGGAGATCCTCTCTCAAACAAAACAGAACAAACAAATAACACACAAGTATATACAGAATAACAGAAAAAACAATTGATGGTAAAGAAGTATTTGCAGAAATAATGACTAGATTTCCCAGAATGAGAGAAACTTTTAAGACCTCAAAGAATGTCAGAAAAAAAAAAAAAAAACAAAAAAAAACCAGACCTAGAAACATCAAAGTAAAACTTAAGAAATCCAGATATGTCCTCCCACCTTTCCTGAACGGTTCAGTTTATAGCCATCAGGTGCATTTCCAAGAATCGAGCAGCCTGTGTGGGTGTAGGAACAAGAGCTATGTAAAAGATATCTACACAAAGGGTGGCTTGCACAGGATGCTGCAGCTGGAGCAAGGCGCTAAAGGTATCTGTTGAGGGTATAGGCCAGTGACGGAGGAAAGTCTGAGCTCCTTGGAGAATTATAACAGGCTAATTCCAACACTAAGGTAGAAAAAGTACAAGATGATCTCGAATACTTCTGCAAAAAAAAAAAAAGTGTTCAAAGATGATGGGACAGGTCAAAAAAACGTAAAATAAATGGAAAGCTGGTAAGAGAATGAGAGTTTCAGAGTGCTTCCCCAGAAAATGCACATTAATTCCACAAGGAGAAAGCAACTTCACAACAGTAAAACCCAGCAGACATCATCTAGATCAAGTGAGCAAAGTGAACTTCACTAGTCATAATACAAGTTGAAGTCCTGTGCAAAGAGAAGTGATATTCCTGCAAAAGACTCATATCCTGAATCTAATCATGAGGTAGCAGAAAAACCCAAACTGGGGCATGCTATAAAATAACCATACTATAATCTTCAAAAATGTCAAGGACTTTTTTTCCAAAGAAAAGGAAAGACATATACAATATCTAGTCTAAAATCCTTCTGCTGTAGGATTTTATTGAGAAACTGGGAAGCCCTGAATGAAGTCTGAGGATTGGACGGAAGTAATGTACCAATATTAATAAGAAAAAATGTTAAATCTCAGCAGTAATAGACAAAATACAAATATAACATAACAAATTAGCTCACTAAAACACATTAATTACAGCAGCAGAGTATGCATGGAAACCAGAATATTTATTAGAGGCAGTGTAAATTAGTTCAAACTCATGGGATTCATGGGCAAACATACAAAACAGTCATCCTATTAAATGCAGCAATTACACTTTTGGAAATTTATACTACAGAAAATGTCAACTGTTATTATTAGCAAATTATTTATAATGTAGGGAACTGGTGAAAAATTACTAGATGGCCTCAGCGAAGCATCTGCCATCCTTCAAAATCTTTCTATCTTCCCGATCTCACCTACCAATTCCAATTGCACTGGAATTCCTGCAGGTCTCTGAACAAATCCTACCCTAAACAAATCCTCTGAACCAACACATCAAGATATTATGTGTTATTTCTTCTGCCTATTTTGTTCACCTGGAAAATTTAGAATCATAGCTGAAGATACTATTCAAGTGATATTTCTTCTTTCCTTGACAATGTAAGGCACCTGCTGAGTATCAAGTCAATAGGGCCTTCTTCAATTACTGCATAAAAAGTTAAATAAAACAATCACTTGCTTAAACAAGAGTCTGTCCCTCTAGATTCAACTGCTCATCACTACAGGCACGAGCCACATGTAGCAGTTCAGTACTTGTATCATGACTTCTTGGAACTGAGAAGCACTGTCAGTGGAAGACACACCAGACTGAGAAGGTCTGGCACCAAAAAAGGTCATAAAAATCTCTTGAGAATTTAAATGCTGATTACATGTTGAAAGGATATTTTGATTATGGAGTTAAATAAAATATATCATTAAAGTTAACTTTTCCTGTTATTTAATGTGGTTGCCAGAAAACTTAAAACCACACTGAATCCTAACTCTTTCTCCTCCCCATCCCCCAGCACTGGGGTTTGAACTCAGGGCCTCATGCTTGCTAGGCAGGAGATCTACCACTTGAGCCATGTCTGTACCTCCCCTACATCTCTATTGGTAGATTGTGATGAACTTGCAGGTAAGAGCCTGTGTGGTATTTATCTTTTTATCTCCCACAATACATAAAGCATCTACAAATCCATGGTCTATAACAAACATTTGGTATACCACCAAAAAAAAACTGAATATATAATCAAAAGATCTATATTTTAAATAACCACCCAGTATTCTAGTAGTGATAAAACATAGTTTGTGTGTGATGATTTTCTTAGTGTCCCTATTCAAGTATTCTTATAAGTACACCTATCCTTCTTTCTACCTGACACTTATGACATTCTGCCTTAAGAATACAGAAATCCATACCTGAGGTTACACCAGATTATAAACTCATCAGGGGCTAAGACCACATTATTCTTATTCTTCTCCAAGCAGAGTCTCCAAGAGAGCTCTACTGTTATTTTTGGCAGCAGTAGGGTGCTAGGGTTGGACCTCTAGGCCTTTAGCTGTCTAGGCAGGTATTACACCAGTTGAGCAACACCTCCAGCTCTTTCTTGCTCTACTTCCTTTTACTCTACTAACTTTTACTTTTACTTATTTACTTTTACTTTACTTTTTCAGGTAGGTCTCATGTTTTTGCCTGGGTCTGCCTAAACAGCAATCCTCGCCTCCCCATAGTTGGGATCACTGCCACTATGCCCAGCTTGTCAAGATGGGGGTCTCATCAACTCTTTGTCATGGCTGGCCTCAAATGGTAATCTACCTGATCTCCACTTCCCGCGGCTGGAATTACAGTGGTGAGCAAGCATGCCCAGCGTCCAACAGAGCTTTAACAGCACAGAAGTGACAGTACTGTTAACTGACAAAATGACACAAACCTAAACTTTAAAAAAAAAAAAAAAGCTCAAAAAGAAAGTTACTGAATAGCCAAGGAAACGTTACAGAATTTTTAGATTATTCAACTTTCAAATTAATAATAATTATCAAGCACATTAAGTCAGTCTTTTAAAAAGATTTTTAAATTATGGAAGTCATACTTCTACTTTGCTAATCAAAAGAATTTTAAATTTACCTAGTGAATAAATGCAAGCAATAAAAAATAAAATAAAACCTTAGCAA